GGGGGCCTTCCGGGACCCTTTGAAGAATGGCCCGGGAGGAGGCCCTGGGGGGGAAGTGGGGTTCTCGTTGGGACCCGGGGGGGGGGCCCCCCCCTTTTGCTCCTAGGTAGCTCCTCCGACGTGAAGGCCCGAACTGTCGCAGCTTATTAACGGCCCTGGGGGGAGCTCAGCTTCCGGCAACGACGTGCGAAGCCTGCAGGCCGACTTGCGGGTGACGCGCCTGCTGTCTGGTGAGAGCACCCGGCAGCGAGAGCTCCATAGAAGGCGGCCGGCCCAGATGCCACCTCTGCCACCGCCGGGGACCAGTCTGGCCCTACGGACCGCGCCAGCCCAGACGAGCCGCGCTCGGGCTGAGCTCCCCGCAACCTTCTGCGCGCGCCCTGCCGCCCCACCGTGACTCCCTAACAGCCTCCTCGACGGCTCCCTGACCTAGCCCTGACCCCGCTTGCTCCCAGGAAAGGGAAAATGGGACACTTAAGGCCCAGAGTTCCTGCTTCTCTCCCTGAACACATTTGGTTCTGTGTTAAGTGGAGCTCAGGTTGCCTACGGAGATGTGGCTGGATGTGTGGGGATGGGGTGGGGAAACCCTACCAGGAAGGAGAGAGGCAGCCCCTTGGGGTCAGGGGTGAGGGAAATGCCCGCTGAAGTTAGCAAAAGTCCTGCAGGCGTCAGGTGCCCGCCGGCCAGCTTCCTGTTTGTGGGGCAGTTGGGGCCCCTGGAGGAGGGGTTAACTTCCTCCCCACCCCTCACCCGGGAGCAGCCTAGCATTGTCATTGGCATATCATTGAAAAGAAAAAGGAATTTACTCTCACAATGTTTGAGGCTGTTTTTGTGCCGCCTCTTTGCCTCCAGTCTTTTGGTGTGAGAGCTTGGGTTGTTTACCTCAGACTAAGACCCTTGAAATTCTGCCAAATTCCTCAAATATTTGTTTGGGGAGGGGGAGGGGGGAAGAGAGGAAAAGGAAAGAAAGTTGCATTTTGTTTACAGTTAAAGACATCTAATATCTAAAAAAGGAGTTTTCCTTTAGAAACACACACACCTTCATCCTGCTCAAAAGATCTCACTCCATGATACTGTGTAAAATATTTTTGCACTGTTGTGAAGTATTTTTGACATCTTTTTTTGTACATAACTGTTCTCAGAGCTGGATGTTTATATCTTTTGCTGTGCAAAAGGGACATGTAAAATGTTGTTCAGTTGTATATACCGAAATGTGTATAAAACATTTTGTTATTTTTGAAGAGTAGCACTGCTCTGGTTCTGTTTGCCCGCCAGTGGGAAGAGAATAAAGAGGAAAATTGAACAGAACAGGTGAGCGTCTGGAACTGCTGCTGAGAATGCTTGGGGGGAGGAGGGAGGAGAGGGTGTGTCCATCAACAGGATGGTGTGGTCAGACAGTGTTTGGCCTCTGCCTTGCTTGAAGGTGAATAGGGGAGGGAAACCCGCTTTATAGGAAGCCTGGGGCCTCTCTGGCCCTTTGCCACTCTGGGTACTGCTGCTGGGGACAGCCTTCTCAAGTATTTCCATCTTCTTCATTAATTAACTTCTGCGAGTGTGGGTTTTCTCTGGTCTCTGAGTTCATTCTTGGAGATTCAGCGTGAGTTCTGTTCCTCACTCTCAGGAGTGACTTCCGACATCTTGTGAGGTTTTATGAGGTTCGTGCTAATGATCAAGTGTAAGAATACGATATAATCTTTTCCTTTACAAGCAGCTCAGGGAGTTTTAAAGATGAACTAGAGACCCAAAGGAGATTTCTGAGAAGTGGGAGAACCTTTTTTATTTTTTTTTTCTGGGAGGAAAAGCAAGGATAGAGGAGAGTTGTTAAGTTCTGAGGATGGCATGAGTGAGTAGAGATACAGGTGGGGTGGGTGGGGAGGCAGGTGGAAGACCCTTCAACAACCTAGCATGGCCCAGTGGGGGAATGGTGTGGAGGTCAAGGCAGAGAAGAGCTGTTAGCGTTTGGGGTGTGTGTGTGTGTGTGTGTGTGTGTGTGTGTGTGTGTGTGTGTTTTAGGGCTTTCATGCTTTCTGTTTGTTTCTGTTGTAAATTCCAAACAGATGTCTCTAATTTGGCTACACCCGGGTCAGCTAGAAGTTGTAATAAGATGCTGCCAAAGCTGTGCCTTCTGCAAATTGTTTTTTCCCTTTGCCCCTTTGGGCCCCTTTGGTATTGCAGAAATGGATTGCACTCCTGGCTTTCCCTGGTGTCCTGAGGCCCCTTTGCTTTGTTTTCATCATAAACATGTTCTGAGCAACTAGACCCAGAGATTTTAAGGAGTCTAGGATTCACTGGAACCATAGAGGAATGGAGGACGAAAGATTTTTCTTTCTAATTAACGGGAGTGGTTCAGGCATAAGACTATCTTTAGAAAAGCAAAGCAAAACAAAGGGTGGGTGGGAAATAATAGTAAAGTATTCAGAGTCATTTCTTTCTTTTTTAAAAAAAATATATTTTTATTGAATTTTTACAGAGAAGAAAGGAGAGGGATAGAGAGTTAGAAACATCGATGAGAGAGAAACATCGATCAGCTGCCTCCTGCACGCTCCCTACTGGGGATGTGCCCGCAACCAAGGTACATGCCCTTGACCGGAATCGAACCTGGGACCTTTGAGTCCGCAGGCCGACACTCTAGTCACCGAGCCAAACCGGCTAGGGCCAGAGTCATTTCTTAAGGGCATTAAGACAAGGTCCAGGCCTTCGAACCTATCACCAGGTTTTGGTTTGGTTGAGAGTCCCTGTCCCTCTCCTTGAATACCTCAGATACACATCATTGAATGACATTTTAAAACCCCCAGCTAGAGAGAGGTCAGGAAAGTCAAATGCCACCCTACCTAGGCACCCACATCGTGTGCCCTCCACTCTGTTCTCACTTGACCAGCAGACAGCTGTGTGGGCCATCACTCTCTTGCATGACTAGATTTCACATTTCCAATTATCTCCACACGTTGCCAAGTTCCTTTGCTGTTTAAAATTGATGAGAACATTAAAGAGGGTGGGGATCATATGGATAATACTTGGAGGTGGGGCAGGGTCTGCATGTCTTCATTTTAACCAATTTATGTGTCCAGTGAGAATGCTAAGGTTGGCTTTCATCTGTGACTGATGGGGGTATGGTGATTGGTCAAAAGTTCAGACAAATGACATTTAAACCAACACCATCAATAAATATAAGGCAACTGTCTGGTTTTTCCTATTGTCTGATTTATAAATAAGGAAGGGGGTGTAGGGGTTGAGGAAGGAGGAAGAAGAAAATGAGCCAACTGCAAAAGAACCAGCTCCCTTCCTCCCCCCTCCTGGTGCCCTCCTCTTTCCTCCTCCCTCCCCTCTACTTTTGGCTTTTATCCTCACTGCACCCTAGGGCTCTGCTGATGTAATTCTAGAAGAGATGTGAAGGTGATACATGATTCACTCCTCTTACGTCTTAGTCTTCCAGGGATGATATCACCAGCGTAAGAAGAGATGTGTTAAATGAAAAAAGAAACACAAAACAAAGCTGAAAACTAATTTGCTCCTGATAACCAGAGGGGAAAGAGTGGTTTGACAAAAGCAAAACTAAGCACAGTCGGATGAAATGCATGTGCCAGAGAGCACCCGAGGACTGTCGGGCTTGCTCATCAAAGTCAGCTTTCCTCCTTGCAAGGTGAGAGTCGTGTTGCTCCTTTAAGTAACCTGATGGTTCTTTACATGCGGTGAGACACTTTCCACAGCCTCCCCAGCCTAAGCGATCATGCCCAACAATGCAGCTCCGACTGCCTGGAGCAGGAGTGCTTTCTGCAGCAGGAGAGACTGCTGCAGGGTGGCAGCGTGAGTCTACACATCAACTTCTCTTGTTCATTTGTACAGTTTGTTGCGTGTTGAGGGGGAAAGAGGGAGGAGTAGGACAGTGTAAAATAAACAATAGTATTACCCTCTCAACTATTACAGTTTCAAAGAGCACCCACTCCACACACACACACACACACACACACACACACACACACACACACAGACACACACACTCCTCCCTAAAGAAAACATCCCTCTCCCTGCCCTACCATCAGCAGAACAGTAGATTTTAAACAAATTCGAAAGGCTCTGTAGTACTAAGAAAGCATGATTTCCTCCGAGGGACAGAGTTGCTTTTAATGGTTCTGCTTGTGAAAGAGAGAACTGGCTGTGGAATCCATTCCTGGCACCGCACTGGAGAATAAAGAACCTCATGGGAGTCACCAAGGATCACGAGAAACATAAAAATTCTATTAGGAGCAAGTTGCCCTCGTTTCTAACAGGATTTAGTAATTTAATAAGCAGAACTCTCTCCTCTGTGTGGTGTGCATCAGTAGCCCCAGCATCTGCTGGCAAGTGATGCATGACGGAGCTAGAAGTGTGTGTGGACTGCCGGGGCGAGGAGCCATGTCGACATGTGGGGAACTACTCAGGGCTCCAGGAGGCCAGGGGGCGCGGGGGCCAGGGCGCTCCGTACTGTAGGTACCAGCCTTTTCTGCAACATGGCCATGTCTGGATCTGCTTTACTCTTAGCTGGGGCCCTTCCTGCTCCTGCTGACTCATCCATGTTCACAGGCCACAATGTGCCTTGGACCAAACCCTCACCACCAGCTCTTATGGGACCCAATTTGAGCAGCCTTAATGCCTCACCACCATTTTATTTTTGGTGGTTTGAATGGCTAGGTGGGCCTGCAGGTTGGCACTGGTTCCTTCCCCTCTCTAGGGCTGTTCAGTGGCATCAGCAAAGGTCCTTGTTTCTAACCTCCATGGAGAGTGGCCCTTCTGACAGCTTCCTCTCCCGCATCTCCTCTTCATCCCTCTCCCAGGC